AAAAAAAAAAAAGACATATGTTTCTTGAAAAAGAATAAGGTAAGAGGTGTTTAATATAAAATGGAGTGATGTGAGCACATGCTATGAACAGATATTGCTAAAAATTGAAACAAACAATTAGGGACCACTGTAAAATACCCCGATATGCTGTAAATCACAGGTCTTGCCACTCTCCTCTCGCCTAACAGATAAATACATACACATACGCTCAAGACATAGGAAATCATTTATCACTTTAAGCAATTTACTGGGTCATATCACACCACAGTCATTGTGAGATTTTCCATTTTAACAGTGAAAAGCACTTAAATTTCCTAAGTGCTAATCAAATTCATTTAAATTGTATTAAGTTATTCAAACCAATGTAAGGAGTGGAAAATGGCCCTAGGAAACACCTTCAATTACCTAAAGGCTAACACCAAGACCCTTCCAACTGTTTGAATTAACCCTTTTTTCTTTTCATGGAATGGATCTGTTTCCTGATTAGATGGGTAAGGTACAGCTGCAGTACTTTTCTAACAACCTAAGAATCAAGCTCACAGCAACAGCGGAAAAAAAGCAGCCACGTGAACTCTGGTAAAGGAACACCATGCTCCTGCCAACCTAGTTAATTTTATTTCTACCTCTAAAGTAAAAGGTCAATATTAGTGGGAAGGATAACTACTTCCTTCACTGAAACTAGTGAAAGATGTCTGGTTTTATAAATGTTTTAAATTCTGCCTAGAGGCAAAAACCTGACTAGGTGACTGCTTACCTAAATTATGCTCTAAGAGAGCATAGTTATGATAGGTCAAGCTACTGATAGTCTCTAAGAAAGATGCTAACTAAAGCCTAAGAATAGAAAAAAAACAAACAAACAAACAGAAAATCGTTAGATTAACATTACACAATAGCAGTGGAATTGAAAGGAATGAGAATTAGAAAACCAAGGAATCAGAAAACCAGGGTGCTACTCCTCATGCTTTCATCAAACGGAGCAGAAGGACCTCTTTCCACCTCAGCCTCATCATGTTAATTTCACAAAGGAATATTACAAAGATTACATGACAGGCACAAAAGTGCTTTAATTATCATGAAGACAAACTTAGTGCAGATATTATTTTATTATAATGAGGCAGTTCTAAGATAGCTAGACAACTCTTACTCCTAATCATACTGGACCTCTCAACAGCATCTGGCACCCACGCCTTAGAGCAAGTCTTTCACACTTTCTCCTTTTCCTCCTACTTTCCTGGCAGCTTCTCCTTAGACCCTTTGCTTAATTGTCCTCCTCTCCCCAACTTTTTGATGCTGGGATGCTCTAAGACTTAGTTCTCAATCCTCTTTTCTGTTCTACACACTCTTTTACTAGATGACCTTATCTCATTCTATAGCTGAACATACAGCAATCTCAATTTTATATCTCTAACATGATTTGAGTCCAACTTGTATGTCCACTTTTATTGGATGTCTAGGAATCATCTCAAACTTACCAAGTCCAAAACAGAACTCCTGAATTTACCAGCCTCACACCTGATCCCAAATTCATCATTCCTTCACACCCTCAATCTAATCCATCAGCATAGCCTGTCTACTCTACCTTCAAAATATATCCCAAATTAGACCAATTCTCACCACTTGCACTTCTAGTACCCTAAGCTTCCATAACAGTCTCTTAACTGATCCTCCTGCTTCTATCCTTACTCTTAGTCTGTTCTCCATCAAGAAATCAGAACTATCTTTTACAAAAGTAACCAGATCATGCCATATCCCTGCCCCAAACCCTCTAGTGGCTTCCCGACCCATTCAAATAAAGCCGAATACCTGGTCATAGCCTATTAGATCCTACCCATTCCAATCTCACTTTTAGTCCCTCTCTGCGTGGATGATTCTGGACTGGCCACATCGGTCTTGTTCCCTGAACACTCTAAGCTCATTCCTGCCTCAGGGTCTTTGCACTTGCTGTTCCTTCAATTTGGAACACCCATTCCTCAGATCTTTGCAAGCTGCACTCTCAAATCTCATTTAGATCTCTTGACACATCCTCCAAAAGAACTTTCCTGACTACTGTATCCAAAATGTTCTGCCACTAAAACCACTCACCATGCTCTCTATCCCTTTTCCCTGCTTTGTGTTTCTTTATAGTACTAATACTGCCTAACATTAATAAGTCATTTATTTAACAAATATCTTTAGGGCACCGACTATGGTGCTCTAAAGCAGAAGTTCTCAACTGGGAACGATTTTGCTCTCACTGAGAGCATCTCAAATGTCTGGAGACATTTTTGTCATTCTGGAACAGGGGGTTGCAGGATGCTATTGGCATCTAGTGGTCTCTACTCACTAGTAGAGTAGAGACCACTAGATGCTGCTAAACACCCTACAATGCAAGGACAGTCCCCCCACAGCAAAGAATCATCCGGTTAATAGTACTGAGGTTAAGAAACCTTGCTCCAAAGCAATATTAAAAATTCCCTGCTTTCATAGAGCTTACATTTCAGTGTAAGTATTATATTTTTAGTTGGTTACTTTCTTCTCCTTGTTCAATAGTTTATCACCAATACCTAAACAGAACCAGAGACACAGCATGAGTTCAATAAATACCTGTTGTATGAATGTCTGAAAATGATAGCCTTCTTCAACCCAAATGACTTTTGAGAAATTAGTAAAAGATTGCATTAATTCCTCAAAACAACACCATTCTCCCACCCCCATAAAAATATGCTTACGACTCAGAGAAGGAAGAAAATTCATCTTTGGATACTACGGTCTGGACCTTTACTTTTGCTCTTCTTGGCAATGATGACATCTGGAAGAAACAGAACATGAAATCAGCATGATTTGAATCACTTAAATGACTGATCATTTATTTTGTCTACAAAATGATGTACCATGCAAAGCCCTCCAACAGCTCTGTTGCTAGAATTTGCCAAAAGGGGAAAAAAAGGATCCTTCACAAGCCCAAACATTAGTTTCCCCTCCAATTATAATAGCTACTAATACCCTTCCAATGATTTCCAAATTATAATAGCTGCCAATTATAATAGCTGCTAATACTCTTCCAATGATTTCCAAAGCTTAATGAGTGTGGACCGTCTTTGGAAAAATGTAAGCTCCTATACGGTGACAATTCATAGTTGTTTTTTTTTTAGGATTATACGCTTGAGTATACAGCAAGTGTTTTTGATTGTTTACCAAATAGCAAATTATGAAGTCCTTTGTTAAAGGACTTTATTAAATTATAAAGTCCTATTATTAAAGTATGTAAGAAATAGTTTTCCTTTTCTATATCTTCTTACAGTATAAAGAAGTCCATCTACAAAACTGACAGTCAAATAAGTACTGTTGATTGACTGAATAAGCAGCCACATTATTCCTAAAACAAGATATTCCATTCCCTTATAAATAAAAGTTCACAATATCTAAGTAAAACAATCACTAACGCCACTAAATATTTATCAAATTCAAAGACCTAGCTCTAAAAAAATTAAGACAAATAACCAAAGACATCACATGACACAGGAAGTAAAATTTACTTTAGCTAAACAATGTATGTCAAACCACAAAAACTATATTAGACTCTGACATACTTAGAATCCTTTAAACAAGTTCCTAAACCAGTCATATGTTATAACACCTCTGGTTTTAACTTCCACTTGGAGAAATGCCTCATAGAAATACCAAAGGGCTCTCACAAAAGAGAGTATGCTCTCCTGGCTGCTATAGCTTAACTCAGTCCAGACAGTACAGAGCTACTGGGAAGAAGAGCGCTAAGAGGAAACCAGGAGAGCAAAACGAGAAGTCCCTAGGAAGTAGATGGGATAATCTTTCATCTTTTCCTTCACCTGCTTTTTAGAACTTTACATTTATGCAGGTCATCCTTCCTCAAATGAGTGCTTTCAGACACTGATCATAAAGAAGAGGTAACTTATGATTTCTGTGCTATATGTATTGTGCCACAATAAAACAAAAAAATATATATACAAAAACAGAGGAAATTAGTGTATGATGGGGTGGCATTTCAGACCAGGAGAGAAATGGATTATTGAATAAGTGGTGTTAAAACAACCAGCTTTCTCTCTGGAGTAAAACAAGTCCCACTGCCACACTGTGAACAAAAATATATTCCACACTAATTATTTAAAATATACAAACTAAAACTACAAAAAAAATAAAGAAGACTATTTTCATAATTTTGAGTTGAGGTGGGGAAGTAAAGGTTTTCCTAGGCATAACTCAAAAAATTCCAAAAGCCAAAAAGATTAACAGATTTCACTACATAAAAATTAAAATCCCAAGTCAGCAGTGGGAACCATTTAAAAACCAAACCAATTTACTCTGCGGGAGACTCAAAAAAAAAAAAAAAAAAAATCACAGGAAGCAGTACCTAATACCTTGGAACTAAGAGTGAAGGGAATAAGGGCTAGGGGTAAGGTGTCTGAGGCAACGGAATATCTCTAGATGCCCTACTCCACTTCATGGTATCAGGCAACTGCGCCAGAAAAACGTCTGGAGGTTTAACCTCCGGAGAGGGTAAAACAGAGTCTCTAGACTAGAGAACACCAAGTACAGTTGTGGACATGGTAACCATACAGACTGAATGCTAAACACAAATCCCCCACCTCACCACCAGTCCTCTTTTCCCACTAAGCTCCCAAATAGTTGCCAGTCAAATCCTTATCCTCCAGGTAAGGAAAATGGAAAGGCTCTTCTCTGGAGAATCTGACCAGCCCAAGAATAAAAACTTGAGGATGATAAGCTCCCTAACAAACAACCCGACCAGATCATCCACTCCCACCACCCCATTCTACAACAGACCTAAATTCAGAATATTCTCACACAGACCACCATGCACCAATTCTAACCACGCTTCAGCCTTAACAGAAATGTATTGAAAATAAGTATAAACAAACCCTTGGGAGGCTCATAAAATTTTGGTTATCCAGTAAAGAATTCCCTGAAAAGAAAAAAAATTTTCAAAACATCCCTTTTAGGCACTCTGGAGACAATGCTATACCACTGAAAGATGAGTAGGATGTAAATTTGTCTTTTAACAAGGAGAAAAAAATATTAAATTTGAAAAGGGAGGTGGAGAAGAATATGCACGAACACATAGGCCAATTTCAGGCAGATAAGTTTTAGAGTATGTACAGAAGCTAAAGACCTAGAAATTATTTCTTAAAAACTGTCTATACCAGGTATACTCCTAGGGGTATGCATATTCCAGTTTAAAAACCAATGTTCTCAAGTACTGTTTATCTCCATTCCTCCAACGTCCCTCACTGCATATCACAGGATGTTAGATTAAGCAAAATTTCATCCATTTCCATGGTTTTAAATACCTATATCACGTACTTAACCCATTCCTACCCTAGTCTTCCCCATCTCAGTAAATGGTACCATCAACCACCTAAGATGGATGGTTCTTTGCTAAGCCAGAAACTTGGAAAATTTTTAACAGCTTCATTGAGCTAAATTGACATACAAAAAACTGTACATGCTTAAAGTGTACAAATTTGATAAGTTTTGACATATGTATACACATCTCCACAATAAAGATAATGAACACATCCATCATCCTCCAAAGTTTCGTTTGCCAAGTGAAAGCCTTGAAAATCATTTTTTCTTTCATCTAGACTATTAGTAAGTCACATAAATTCTTCCTCCAAAATATATCTCAGATCTCCATGATCTCCAGAGTCTGTAGTTCCCTACATCTCTTACCTGGACTACTGTAACAGTCTCTTAATTGGCCTCCCTGCTTCCACTCTTGTCCCTACAACCTATTCTCCACATACCAATCCAAAAGATCATTTAGAAAATCCATTCAATGATTTCTCATCCTCCACTTAAAATCATTTTTACCATGGCCTTCTAAAGTGCCCTGCAAGACTGACCCCCACCTACATTTCTAATCATATCTGCCCCTCACTGTAGCTCCTCAGCCATAGTCACAACATTCTTTCAGTCCCGTAACAAGTATGATTCGTTCCCACCCCAGGTTCCCACTAGGCCTGGAGTACTATTATCCCTGCTCCTCAAAAAACTGGCTCCTTCTCATCTCTCAGAGCACAAAATTTTAGGCTTAAAATGGGTGTCCCAGATATATTATTACAGGACCCTATTTATTTCCTTTACACAGTACTATATAACATAACCTATAATTATCCTTACTTATTGTCTGCATCCCCCATGCTTACTTCATGGCAGTAAACACCATGAAGAATGAAATCATATTAACCTAATTCAATTCTGTATTACACTAGCCTGGCACTTAATAGCTGCTCTGTAACTATTTATTAAATGAACAGAAGAATATATTTGGTCTCTATAGAAGAATACACATTTTCCCCCATCACTATTAGGCAAAATTACACATGGCACTCATTGTTTTCTTGAAAAAATGATGGTACAGAAGTACATTCTTACTCTTAGTGGCTTGAGATTTTCTAGCCTACCAAGCTGTCATATCTCTATGAGCACATGAGCACATTCAAAATTAGTAACTTGGAGGTTTCTGTGATGTTACTAAGGGGAAAGGCACTAAACTGGAGCAAGTGAAAATCAGGAGGAGGCGGTGGAGAAACCTGCATACACACAAGTATTAAATTAAAAATGGAAAAACCACAATTAGAAAATTTAAGGAGAACGGAGGGGAACAGCTTTTTAAGAGGCACCTAAAGTTTTCCTGAGGTTACCAACAAGTGCTCAGAATATATGCCCGATGGAGTAACAAAAACAAAATATTAGACCTGGAAAGAGCCGCACAAATCAGACCGTCTTGATATTTTCTTTTGTGAATGAGAAGCCTGAGATCCAGTGAGGTTAAATGGTTTACTCAAAGGGAAGACCAATGTGGCATGAGGAGGACTAGAATTCAGAGCCCCAAACACTAAGACTAGGCTCGATCCCCATTCCACAAAAATAGTATCAATTACATGCCATCCTGTGGGAGGTTCGAGGAAAGTTGCCTAGAGTGGGAACTCAAGTTATTTAGCGCCTCCTATATGTCTGGCTCACTGCTGAGAATGCAGCTGATTCAGCCACGATCTGATAATCAAAGGGTGCTTCCTCTCGTCTCCAAAAGTTTGAGGTTTAAAAACAATCGAGGTTTGCTCGTACTTTTCCTTTGTCTGCCCCTATGCGCTAAGAGCTGCAATTTGAGTAAGACGCGCCAGCTGACAAACGACAGCCAGGAGGGGTTTTTCGGATGTAGGTATGAAGACAGAGACCGCAGACACTATAATGTAATGAAACTTGTCACTTTAAAAAGGGATGTTATTTCCAAAGTGAACGCTCAATACTTTTTAAATGGCCCCCAAAATACCGGAGCCCGGCTGCCGGGCTGACCCGAGCCCAAAGGAAGACCGCCAAGGCGGACACTCAGCTCACCTTCCCGCCCGGCGTGTCGGAAGGCCCGGGAGTCTGCGTGCGTGACAGCGTCTTCCGGTTCCCGCCGGAAGTTTTTCAAACTCCGGAAATCCCTCCTCGCTTCTCCCTGACTGGCTACAAAAGCGCTGCTCCAGGAGCAGGGCGGAGCCAAGCTGGACAGAGACGAGGCTAGAGGGAGGGTCCCTTGGGAGTGCTAAGGTGGGGCTGGAGCTATATCTCGGCGGATCCGGTTGGAGGTGGGGCCAGAGAGTCTGTAAATGCAGACCCGCCTCCGTGTTTTTCTTTCTCTTTCTCTTAATCCGCTTTATTCTTCATGTACCCTCTTTTCAATTCAATCAGGAATATTTCTTTACATTATTTGTAATTTGCAGTAGAAAAATGAAAAACTGTCAAGCTTCATTCTTTCTATGGTCAGTTTTTAAATGTCGTTATTTAACTTCCATAAGGGTGTTTTAGCGTATTTCATTATTTCCTAAGCCCCAAAGATAAGAGTTTTACTTCAGTCTTATGAAAATAGCCAAAGTTTATAAGGGCTTCTGGTAAACCCTCACACAGCCCATGAGATTCACTCTGCTTTAATGTAAGAGTTTAGCCCTACAGTCATCACTCTCTTACTTTGGTCCCTCAAGACAGCTTGTTACACTGCCAAGTTCACAGATTTGGAAACCTGGTTCTTTCAGGAACTTCCTAGTGCATTTGGGCAAAACTATGTCTTTGAACCTGTTTTCACTGCCTACGGCTCCGTCTTACCTCTTACATGATAAGGTACCTCATACAAATTAGGAGTAAATAGTTGAACTGAGGCAAACGCAAGTCTCAGTTACCTAATCTTCCTAGGCAAGAATGGAAAAACACTTGCCCTATTTCATTTTCAGATTCTTTGAAAGTGCTAATAACAGTATTCTAGGTGAGAACCGCCTCAGATCCAGCATTTCTGTTTCTCTTCCCACAAAACACAAAAGTGGCTCCTTTTCATTTCAATGACTCCCAACATCAACCTCACTGCCATCTCTTAAGCCCCACTTTTTTTTCACAAATCCAATTTAAAAGCTATAAAGGCCTCCCCAGCAATCATTTCCTTTGCTCCGAATACATTTTCTCAAAATTAGTTTTCAGGAGAAATGGAAAATGACTTGTTTTTTGGTGATGTGTTTTTTAAAGGCTATTGTTAGTCTAGATTAGAATTTAGCAGACCAATACTGCATGGATTTGTTTCAGAGAATTCCAAGAAGCAGCTTTCTATGCTAATGACTCATTTCTAAGGACACAGTACTGAAGAGTCAAGTAAGTTATTGAAATCACCCATGAGTGAGCCTTGCTACATGCAGATTAATGCAAAGTGAACATAAATTTCTCTGGATAATTTTTCCAACGTGAAGGCAATAAGACTTTTTAAACGTAGCCTGTTCGATATCTATGATCCTGGATACATAAGGATCGGTTTCTGAAATTGTTTAGAGATTTTCTTTCTTCTTAATTTACAGTTTCATGTTGCCTTTTGCAATGGTTCCAGAAGGTCTAGAACTGTCCGCCACAATCACAGTCTGCTCCACAATTTCTAGTTCTGAAAGAATAGTAGAGAATGTGTTACAGTCCGGGATTATTGAAAGGTAAATCAGGTCATCATAATGAGCTGTAGTAATTTACTATTTACTGTTCACCTACTTTTGATGTCAAATTGTGCTATACAGGTTTAATGTAGGAGATAAAAAGGGTCAAGGTGAATCAATATTCTAAAAAATCTTTTGACGTAATTCCTGCCCACAGGAATTTACAAACAAGACTAGGTACTAGATATAGTCACAAGAGATGGAGACCCATACAAGACAGTCTAGCATCAAGGGTTAGGTTGTGCGTGGTAGTAGACACACTACTCAGTAAGGATGACAGTAGGGATTTGGCCAGCAGAGTGTTGGACCTTAATTCTCCTCTCTTCCACCAGGGATATTTGCTTTTCAACCAGGGAAGGAAAAAATGACTGCACGAAAGTAAATAACCTAGTAAGGTTTAAAACATCAGACAACTGGGGGAAATAAAAGTTGGGGTGGGGTCTTTTAAAATTAATGTAGGTTGTAACCTACTCCAAAGGGAAGTAAGATGGTCCAGAAAACAATTCCCTTGGAATTTTGCAAGAGAGCCACTCTCACTGAAAGCTGTTAAAGGATATTTGTAATCACTAAGCATAAAGCAAGCTCCCCACCAAAACTGCCTTTTCTCTCTAAGACATTTGCCCAATCTATTGTTTACCTTTGGATCTTAAGTGCTGAATTCCAAGAAATTCATGGGATTAGCTTGGAATAATCTGGACATCCACCTGAGACTATGCAATAGGGTTTGGGAGGAGTAGTTAAAACATGTTTTGGATTTGCTTGGAGGTTATTTTCTTGCTCTAAAACATACAACTCCTCGTATGATATTTATTGCTATGTTACCATTTGTATGTTATTGTCTATATTTTCGTGTTCTTTCCCTGTGGGTTCTATCTCCTCAGGGAGACTGTAAGAAAAGTAATAACATATTCATTGATCATTAGCTATGTGCCAGGCACTAAGTTAGTGCCTTTACATGTATTTGTGTATTTAACTCACATATTAGCTCAATCAGATGTTGATATTATCCTCTTTTTATAAATGAGAAGACCAAGGTATGGAGAACTTAAATAACATATTCAAAGTCACATCAGCTATTAAATTGCAGATTTGGGATTTAAACCCAGTACTCTTAAAGGTATTCACTTACCACCAACTCAAAGTATTAAATAAAACAATAGACTAACGCCTGGACTGAAGAATGTGCCTAAAGTAAAGAAAAATCTACTAGAAAAGAAATCTAAAGTTCCCACCACACAGAAGTGGGTTACCATTTAAAAAGTCAAATGTACTTTTAGAATTCAAGCATTTTGTCCCTTAGAGTTAATCACCTAGCAAAGACAAAAGAGTCTGTTTCAGATCAGAGAATGCATAAATTGAAATTGGGCCTTATTTCATAAATTTGCATATTAGCTCTGCTCATCTACTTTCCCACTATCAGAAACGCTCAATCCTAAACAGTAACATACATTAGCTTCAATGAGCTTCTTTCGATATTTCAGTTAGGAACTTGGAAATTTCCTGTAAAAAATAAAAGATCTGCAAACAGACAGGGAACTGCTTCAGTTCCCCAAATGAGAAAGGGGCTTCTTGCTAAGTGAGCTAGAACAGGCTGGTAGATGGGTTCCCAAACTTGGCCTGTCCTGTTACTTTTTCAGTCTGGCTGGGAGCAGCAGCATAATTCCAAAGCAATAGTCTAGTGCTGAGGACATTGTAGCCCAGAGTAAGTTTGCCATTCTTATGTGTAAAAGAAAAAAGGTTCAAGGAATTAAAATACTGAGTTTGGAAAAATATTGAATGGATCTTGAGGAGGCATCGGTTAAGGCTAAGGAAGTTAATTGTACAGATTTTTCAAGGAAATGAATATTCAGGTATCATTTGAAGGCATTACAGTTAAATTTATCTTACATGAAGTAAAATTATGGGACCTACATATTAAATTAGAATATATTTTTTATCTTTAGCTTAAAACTGAAACTTGCAGTGTTTTTCCTTTTTTTTTTTTACAAATCCTAAAAGTACTTTGTAAAGAATGCAATTAAAAGCAAGATAAAGAAAAAAGAAATTCTGAATCATAGATAAAATACTGTATCTATTACATGGCTCACTGTTCCACTCATTACCTGCCTGGCAAATTCACTGGCTAAAAGATAATCAGTTACATTCATGAGTAGATATATTGCAAAATTTTCTCCTGGTGAGTTCCTCACCCTCAAGTAGTGTCCAAGGACCAGCTTTATTAAAGGTCTCAAATATTCATTAAATAGCCTGAGATCCAAACATAGAAATCCCAGGGGGCTCATTTGGATCCTAATGATGGCATAGCTGCTTGGGTTCCAAGGAATAGATGAAATGCAGCATTGAGGGGCCAGAATTATTTTACTCATCACTACAGGGAGCCATGTCTGGAGACTATACATCAGAACTAGTACTTTGTAGTACTTTTGGCCCATTTTCCAGTTTAATGAACTAGAACTATCCTGCAGATGGTTGACTTGAAATACTCATCCAGAATGCCTATAGTCAGAATTTTAATACTAGAAACATCACACACTAAGTGGAATTCAAATTTGGAAAAGCATCGTGTATCAAATCAATCTATGTCCAAGAGTGTGTGTGTGTGTGTGTGTGTATGAGAGAGAGAGTCCAGTTTATTGAGTATAATTTACATAAAGTAAAATTCAACTTTTTTATTCTGAAAATGCATACAATCATATAACCACCACAATCAAGATATAAAACATTTTCATCACCTAAAAAAAGTGCCCGTTCGTATTTAATCTTCTCCCCCATTTCCCCCTATCTGTTCTCTGTCTCAATAATCTTATCTTTTCCAGAGTACCATATAAACAAAATCACACAGTATATAGCTATTTGAGTCTGGTTTCTTTTAGTTAGTATAGTGCATTTGAGATTAATCTATGTTGTTGCATGTATCACTAGTTTGTTTCTTTTTATTACCAGTTAGCATTCCATTGCATGGATATACCACCGTTTATATTTTCAGCAGTTGATGGACATTTAGTGCCTCCCCGCTCTTTTTGGCTATCATTAATAATGCTGCTATAAACATTTATGTATAAATTTTTGTGTGGACATATATTTTCATTTCTCTTGGGTAGATAAATACCTAGGAACAGGATTGCTAAGTCATATGGTAAGTGAGTGCTTAGTTATATAAGAAACTACTAAATTGTTTTCCAAAGCAGCTGTGCCATTTTCATTCCTACCAGAATGCATGAGAGTTCTGGTTGTTCCACATCCTTGCCAGGATTTGATATTGTCATGTTTTTTTGTTTTTTGTTTGTTTGTTTGTTTGTTTTTCTTTTTGCCATTTAACTGATGTTTCAGAGTATCTCATTAGGGTTTTAATTTGCATTTCCTTAATGACTAATGTAATGTGTTTTTTTGTCACCCATATATCTTTTTAGCTGAAGTATCTGTTCAAATATTTTGATGATTTTTACCTGGATTTTTTTATTGTTGAATTATGAGAGTTCTTCATATGTTGTAGATACTAGTCCTTTATCAAATATGAC